GGTGTATATGGGGGATGCCCTCTCTGTCCCCTTTATATTCTCTTGGTCATGAGTCAATGAGTCAATGAGTCAGATCTGAAAAAATAAAAGTTTCGGTAGAAACAATAAAATTAAGCATTACTTTTACTTAATTTTTTAAATTTGTTTATTTGTTTTGCTTGTTTTAAATAGGTGCTTCGTTTTCGAGATTTAGGTGCTTCGTTTTCGAAATTTGGGTGCTTCGTTTTCGAGATTTGGGTGCTTCGTGCTTCGGTCTTCGTCTTCGAGTGCTTCGTTTTCGAAACTACCATTGCTGCCTGCACATGCAAGGCCTATTTCTGACATGAAATCTCATTCTGGGCTGTTTGTTAGCAGTATCCCAGGCCCTGCCGCTACTACTACGTGCATGACCGAAAAATATAGCCATCCCAGACACCCTTCAAGAACCGTTTAAACCATCAGACAATCCATACTACTAGAGTTTCCATACCAGAAGTGAAGTGCTGTCCCAAGGTCCCCAAGGTTGTTCATATTAGTTGATGCACGAGTTTTAAACAGGCGAGCTTATATAATTATGTAAATAAACACAAACATAATGCAAACAATGAATGCCCAAAGATTTTAATCAATCAACGAGCCTTGAAAGCTATTTAAAATTACCATGGGTATACAGTAATACCTCAACAATAATTATTCGTACACTGTATGTTTCTAATATAAACACATGACTGTGTACAACTGTTCGACTCGCTGTTTCATACCCCTCCTCGGGCAAATTACAATAATTGTAATTCAGTTTGTTCGCCTCGTAGCATCATTCACCTTTTGAGGCAAGTAAAACTCAGGGGCACCCGGGCCCAACGAGAATGTAGCTCAAAACCACTTAAACATAGCATTGTCAAGCGTATTTTAGTATTTAAACGGTAGATATAGGCATATTTTTATCCCCTAAAAATTTTTCATCTGTTCAGATTTCCTAGCTGAAAGTCTCGAGATTCGAAAATCATAGGGATCAAAACTTACCTTTTCGAAAATTTCAGCCAGAAAAAAGGCTCCCGAAAATTCTAGGTGAGCTTTTTAGGGTAAAAATCCGTTAAAAATGGGCAATTACACCAACGTTTAGATGTTCGAAAATCCTCGGAGAGGTAGGCAAGCAAGAAATTTTACAAAAAGTGTTCCGAAAATTCTAGATCTCAAATCGTCTTCCGAGCAGATCTTTTCCGAAAATTGACGTTGGGTGCCCCTGTAAAACTGATTGGAAAAAGCAGTAAACTACATTGGGAAGATTATCAACTGAAAACAACTCTGCTATTGATTGTTGGAACGGACGCTTTAATAGTGTCCTGGATCGTCTTCATTGTGTTCAATAACTGATCGACGGTGATCCACAGCATGATAGAAAATTCTATTCCCCTTGATAAGATTCCTCGCTAAAACCTAATGAATACTTCCCAGAATACTTACCTTTACACCAGCATGACAAGCTAATGAGTAACATACCGATAAAGATATAAAAGTAGAACTTTCCTTCGCACTCATGACCGATTTTCTACTTCAACCGGGGCCAAACATCAACAGACCGAATATCAAAGAACGACTGTTCCCAGATTTGAGTCTTTGAGCGCTAAGAAATTCCATAATATAGGTTTGTCTCCATTTACTTTAAGCGCTGTGTTTAAAGGGAATTAAACACTTTCTTCCGAGGCACTCACAAAATTTAGGCTGGCTTATTTTTCGCTTCTGCTATGCGGCAGGGCCTGGGAAGGGCGTATGGAAAAGCCGGAATCCGGAATCCGGAACCGGAGCCGGAAACGGAAACGGAAACGGAACCGGAACCCGAACCTAAGAAATAAAACTTGGAGACGTTTCTGTCTTAAGAGTGTCACTAACAATTATTGCTCGATCAAGACTTTTCATCCCCACATTATATTTATTTATTGTTATTATATTTTTTACTGTCGCATTTTTTGCGTACGGCGCAAAATTTTTCTTCGAGAATTTCATATACGCGTGAGCGTTGCAACTTGGGATCATGATTGACATGAGTACTCCTCCTCCCTTTGCCGCCTTTTCCTCACAATGGATGAAACACGGAGCCCTTTTAAGAAATGAGTAACTTAGGCTCAAGAGAAGGAAATGAATAACACAGCGGTCTTAAACATCACATACTAATAATGGCTGTTTTTCGCAGTCAATCGGCTTCTGGTAGTCTCGATCTGTCGAAAATTGCTCGACCTACAGCTGCAGTCACAGTTTATGACTGCTAGGAATAACAGTAGGATGCACTTACCTTTTTTTTTGCAAGTCACTTTCCGAATGTGTATCACGATCACTGTGCTGAAAATTTCTCAAAACAATGATAACAGAGGACGCCATCTTGAATTTTATTCCCACCCGGGTATCGGGAACTGGTTTCAGTGCTTCCCAGTTTACCCTGGTCTCAATTTAAGTTCCGGTTCCGTTTCCGGCTCCGGTTCCGGATTCCGGATTCCGGCTTTTCCATACGCCCGCCTGGGAACTGCTAACAAACAGCCTAGGTCGAGCTTTCATGTCAGAAATAGGCCTTGCGCAAAAGTAATGCTTAATTTTATTGTTTCTACCGAAACTTTTATTTTTTCAGATCTGACTCATTGAGTCATTGACTCATGACTCATTGACTCATTTGACTCATTAATACTTTACACTCATTAGTATCCATAAGTGAAATGAGGGTAATGAAATTCATTGCCTTTTGTTATTTCAAACTGCTTACCGAGCAAGAACAAGGAAATGCGTTGGTTTTTTAAAACACATAGCGATTCATTGATTCATTTATTTCAAATTTTGTCTAAATTCTAACCGTTAGTCAGAGAGCTGTGATTAAATTAAAAGAAATATAAAAATACTGCTCAAAACATTAGTAGAAGGTATGAATACAACGGCATACACAAAACATGGACGAAATCGTCGTAGGAAAAAGGTGGTTTACTAATATTGAGTGTGATAATTCAACCTGACAAAATAAGGTCAATAAACTTAACGACCTTTGAATACACTACTTTATCTAGATATTATCTGTCTGTCACAGAAGGAAACGAAATCATATTATTTATACGCGATCTGCCATGAAACAAGGCAATGCAGGTACGATAATTGTCATCGAGACATGTGAATTCTTGATTCAGGGCGTTAAGTGAATTCTCGTGTTAAAATCGGTAAAAAAAATTCGCAGCCCGAGAGAGAACGATCATAATAACTGCTTCAAACGTTGCAAAAACACATGACAAATTCAGAAAAGCGTAAAAGCAGGATGATTGGGCAAAAATAAGGGAGATTACTATTAAATGGATTGCATTTTTGTGAACGGCGAACCGGTTTTTTTCAAGTTAATTCCGATTTTGTATGAAAGGCAGGACTTTCAATCCTCGGAGATCATCAATATTCTTTGTGTGTTTATTTGTTAATAATAGAGAGGCGTGTCTTTCAGCAAATCGTAGTTTAACGCTTTTAGTTAACGAAAACCCATTAAAAAAGCAGTGATCTAATCACAATAATTTCGAAATGAAGTAATCTCAACTAGTTTCTCTTGCATTTAATTTAAACCTTTCTATACAAAGTCTTGACTAAGAATTTCTTTTCTATAATAAATATTTCTTTTTCCTATGAACACTATAAAAATGTAAAATATTAGTTTTCTTCATTAAAAAACGAGGCACATCTAATTTCATGATAACAAGCACACATTTTACGGTGGTCTGAAATGTCATCCGTCTGCCTCGCCCCAAAGCGCCCCCCCCTTCACCCCCACTATGGAGGTTTCCTACTGATGGGTGTAACTGGGATCACTTCCAAGAAGTTGTTTTAAATACAGTCAAATCACATTAATACGGACTCTGAAGGGGCCATAGAAAGTGAGAGTGTTAACGAGGTTTTCGTAGGCGAGTTACTGATTAGGAAAAAAGCAAGGGCTTTCCCCAGGGCCAAAGCAATGCAAACTGTCCGTAATAATCGGGTGTCCGTAAAGCGGGGTTTGAGTGTACTTATTTATACATTCTGCTTCGAGAATGAGCCGCAGTCTTCCTTGTCCGTCATTTCATAAAAAGGAGCGAAAAATCCAACCGATCTGAACGGAATGATGATCTTGATGCTACAATGCGGGAATTCTGCCACAATATGAACAGATCCTTCTGAAACAGAAATATTAAATGTTAAAACATTGAAGACAAGTGTTTTTGAGCTTACTGCCTTATAACTAGTAACGCTTTATGCTATCGTCTGCGTAAGAATGAATTAATAAATGAATGTAAGGTTATTTTTATGTTCTCGTAGGTGCAGTAACGTGTAACCTTCGGAGCCGAAGGGACTGGGTTCGATACCTTTTATCTCCCATTTTGTTACTCTGTTTTATGAAGCGTTGCTACAACAAGGAGGAATTTGATACTGATTGTTCTTAGGGATTTTTAAAAAGGTTAAATAGAATATTATGCTCCGTTATTTTAAAAACGTAAAGTTTATGCGTTTGTGAGGAATGGTCTTTCAATGGTATTTCACTTTTCTTATTACAGGAAACGTGCTCTGTTTCGACTAATGATAATTCTCGAATTGGTTTAGCCAAATTAAATTCTTTACTATTTCTATCCATTCGTAATGCTTTACGCGTTGATTAATTCTTACTAGTACTGAATATTTTTATACCGTTGGTAGTATTAAACATTGAAAATCACAACAGTGAGAAATTAATACGAACACGAATCTGTCACTTCTACTATATTCGTCTTATGGTAATTTCGTTACGACATTTGTGTGTTTAATCTTGGCAAGAAATTACAATAGTCCCAGAACCGTATCTGTAAAAGTTTTAACTTTGCCTGTGGCCGCCGAACCAACCTTACGTGGTATAAAGCACTTATAACACGTAACAAACAGTGACAAAAGGTGCACGTCCTGATTCAAGTCGCTACACAACGTGACTGCCTTAAAGAACGATTTTGTTTTGCAAGCACGTGGTTTTTGTAAACTGAGACTGTTCACTATTTTTTTACTCACGTTGAAGAACTTGATCCTGTAAGTTGTGGATTGCTTTTCTGGAAAGAAAACAGGGAGAAACATTTTTTGACACTGAAGTTATGAAACTAATTCCGAACATAAGTTTATTATTCCAGTTTGAGTAGGATTTCAAGCAAAACCTTTCCCTGAATATAAAATGAGTCTCGAAAGTCTTTAACAATGAAGGAGTGAAACTCCGTAATTTCAAGAAAAATTTCAGGACTTGGATTCTTCATATCAGAAAAAGGGTATGGAAATAAACAAAATTCACCCGCGAAGGATGAAGAAAGAAGAAAATAGATTTTTTTCCCTTTCTTTCTACTCGCGCTCGATTCGCTCGCAGAGTCGCCAAATTCGTCAAAAAGAAAAAAAAAAGATTCAAACAAACAAACAAAAAATGAGTTGTGGACGAGCACTACCTTCTCTACCTTAGCTCTGAATTGCCAGACGTTAAGAGGGAAAAACCATGCTACTCCCGCGGGTAATGACCTGGTGCCTTGTATTTGTACAGTTATAGCCTTGACGACCGCAGGTCACACACAGTAAAACGGCAATTTTCCCTTGTTTTTAGTTATACCTACCTGTGTTGCATCCGCAGCCTTAAAACCGTATTTTGAAAGCAAATAGCGCAACAACACTTGATCCTTGGTGTGTTTGATTACGAACCAGTCAGCCAGACCATTCCCCGGATTTTCAATACCAGACCGCTGTACTCCCTGCTTACCCTGATACCTTTGGTAAGCTGGGTTTGCCACATTTCGTTCTCGTGATTGAGACAGGTGGTCAATGTTTGTTCTATTAAGGGCAAAAACAAAGGAAAAAGAAAGAATTCAAAGTCAGTCTAGAATGAGCAGCGACTCGGGAAAAAAAATTCGACAACTCTCCTAACTGGGGTAGAACCAAACACTTTCTGAGTAAAGCGGATTAACAACCTTTAGTATTTACCAAATCAGCTGTTAATAGCAATTTTCGCGCGATTTGTTTGGCTCCCGTAACTCGGAATATCCTTGGCTATTCACTGTTTTCCGACTGGAGCCAAGATGGCGTCTCGTTTGAAGAAATTATCGGGAGACGAAAGTTTGAGCAATAAATGGAGCAGTTGTATAAACAAATACGACAAAAGCGACAGACTTCAGCTTGTGGGTGTTTACTGGTAGGGAGAAAATTATTTTCTTGCTAAATTTGTAACAAAATCGTAAAAACGCCCTTGACAAGATCCCCGAAATGTTTGTAAATTGTGAACAAACTTCCTACTATGATGACGTTTTTCATTTAAACAAAAGTTGTATTCAACTGATTTGTTAAATGCTAAAGCAACTATCCCCCTAGGCCTCAGGGTCGGTGAACACCACTATTCACATCCCCTTCGGGGGATAGTTGTATACTAGTATACCTTAAGGGTAGAAATGCTGCCGTAGGCAAGGAACAGTAAAGAAATGGAAAATTAAGTGTGAATTAATATGAGGATAAGAGGGCTACCCAAAATCTTTGTGATGACCTAAATTTGAAATTATGAGCCAATTTTAGTATTTTTCTAACGTGCTCGCGTCGCGTCAGAAGTGGCCGGATATTCCTGGGATTTTGGATTTGTATAAGGTCAAACATTCTTGCTTTCAACTGAATAACTGAAAATTATTTTGAAGTTTTGATTTGGTGATACGAGCTATGCCTCGGTAGGCTTTCACTACTTTTGCCTCATATGAAAATAGCGCTTAGTCCAAATAACAGCTCTCGTTCTAACGGGTAGATTATTATAAGCGAGAGGATTCTAAATTTGGACTATTAAAGCATATTCAGTAGCCTATTTGAGACACTTGTCTCACACGGCTGAGAGGTATGAAGGTGGTCTGTTAAGGTGATCACTTTTCCTCGCTAGAAGGCGGCTCTTTCACCAAAAATTTCCCCGAATTCACACAAGTAAGCCTGCTCGCAGGCTAAACAGCAGCAGGAATTCCTATCGAGAAATCTCTAATTAAAAGTTTACCATTTCAGAACAAGGTTTGGTTGTGAAATTTGGAGAGGTCTCACGTAAACACACAAGGGCTATTTGTTTCGACTACCTTGCCTTCCTACCAAAGCAGTTCCTCTTTGCAGGGGTATTAATTATAGAGAATAGCTTTTTAAAGAAAGACGTGTTTTAGCCATTTTACTCAATAAGTAACCTAATGACTTACAGGCCGTTTGGTATCATTCTCTGTGCCAGGGCCTTGCAGATTCGAGAACAACGACGACTTCTCATGGCGAAATTTGGTTTGAAGTTTTTTCGCGTAGTATAAATACAATATATATACACTCTGAAAAGTTTCATTTTACCTTTTTTCATCTAAAAAGTTAAGGGTATGATTATTAAAGGAGGTTAAGCCCTCTCCTAATCGCAAAACGACAAAACGTCTTAAGTCCTGTCAACTTGCCCTGTTTCTACCACTAATGACAACTGTGCGTCCAGCCTACAATACCTAGGCTCTGCCATTAGTGGGCAAAGCATCAGCGCTGTAGTTAAACGTATGTGCCTATGCCTTTTTATACAAAGGTGTTCGTGATAGGTAAGGTTTCACAGCATCAATATTTGTATATCAAAATTACAATTTTCAGTGCCAAAACAATAAAAATGAAAGACGGGGCCGCTCCTCGTCTCGCTTAAAGTTGTAGTGTGCTAGTCACTCTGCGTAAAATCTTCTCTACCTGGTTGACCTACCCGCAAATTGCACATTTTTCAAAATGGTACGGATTCTTGTCCACATCAGTAAAATGCTCGCAGATAGCACAGAAATAAGCAGACATTTTCCTTTTACACCTATCACACTTTGCACTGTCTTCGCTAATCTGTGAAAATAACAGGCAGAAAATATAATACAAATCAAAGGGAATAAGGTACCGGCGAAGACAAAAAATCTTAGAACTCCGGTGGAAATCGTACCTTCGAGGAATTAGATTTGCTCTACTGACTGTCAGCTAAGAGGTCAGTCGGAGGCAAGTCGTGAATGATTAAAAAGCAATGACGTTTTACAATATTTTCACCCGTGCTCCTCTTCAACCACACCCACCAAGAATTACTCCAAAACATGACTTTACGTTTTTAAATTAAAACAGAACTTCACAAACAGTGGTATAACGAGGCTTGGTTTTATATAAACACTAGACTAAAAGTTGATACGGTCGCTTCCCAACCCCCACTCGACCCATTCATCCAATCTTTCATTCATCAATACTCATTATTTCCGCGGCAGTGATCAGCAGTAACAGTGCTTTAGAGGGCCTCACATGTGGCATGTTTGCAATAAGCAAAAACATGATGCAGTTTAAGTAAAGTGTCTCTTACCTTGATTGTTATAAACACAAAACGGTGGCACAAAGTTTGCGTTGCGACCCTGCAAGCGATAAACTACAGATAAACTTCATCGAAGGGCTCTCTTTTACCACGTTGAGACTGAGCAACCCGCTGGACACAAAATCCGAGCCGTTAGCTCGCCAACCGCGCGTTTCTTCCAAAGTCCAGCGTTTGTAAAGCGGAAATCAGGGGCATCCACCTTTATCCCCCTCCCGGCCCCACAGAGCACCACGGGGACAAAGCAAAAATTAGCCAATAACCTCAAAACCACTCATTCAGTGAATACAAGAAAAAAACAGTTTTGATTTCACAAAAGAAAGTAAACACCGACATGGTGCGTAATAGTTTCTCTGCCGTGCGCTGCTGAAATTCTCGTCCACATGACAAAACACCGGCTGTAGGAGAAACCTGATTGTTCGGTGAATCAGTAATGTCCTCGTACTTGATCGATTTCACAGTATATTATAGATGAACCTTTATTAATGTTGCTATCTACAATCTTGGACAAAATCAAGGATGGGAAAATGGTGCGTTTTGGTTCTTGCGCGGCTTCATCCTTGATTTGGGAAGGGGGGGGGGGGCTGGTTTGCTGTTCCATTTTGTTTTGTCCAAGATTGTAGTTTGAAGGCGTTTGGTTGATGCAACAGGTGATTCAAAAAGTTTTTTGCCTGAAGCATACTTGCTGATACTTGAAAAAATAGCCAGCATACATTGCTTTAATCACTCATCCAAGCTCTCGGTGGTCAATACATTTTCAAGTTTTTGCTCTAGCTTCGTCCACGCTATTTCCTCAGTACTCTTAATTTACATACCTCAGAAATCAGAAGCCTGCAGAACTCCGACTGATAAATCTTACTCCATCTTTTTATATTAACATTATACGGTTGACTTAGTGTAGGTCTCTTGGTGAACTGAAATTAGAAAAGGAATTCAGTGCATTGCTATTTTTTAATTAAGGGGAAATCCCTTTTTTTCGCAATGTGATTGGACAAGAGTATCACTAATAATATTCATGTTGCACCCATTGGGCGCGTAAACGAAATCTAATTGTTGATTGCCTGGGCCTAGCTTTTGGTCACTTGGGTTAATTATCATAATATTTGTTTTAAAGAATTGGCCTAACCGTACAATATACGTTAATATAATCATGTTATAAGTGATAAGTACGATAGTCACACGTGCGAGTTATTTCCTTATCCACATGAAGGGCAAAAATCCGCGACTTGTTTACATGCATGGGGAATTTTTTGTATGGCTGGCTTTGTAAGTAGAAAATTAAAATAAATTTCTGCTTGACCCCTTTGATCCCGCAAGGAAAAGAAATTTTGGAGGGAAAAGTCACAATATATATATAATTCCTTTTTATTTGTTGTATTTTATGAGCATCCAGCCATCTTCAAAATGCCTTATCTTTTCTGCCACAAAGGGCCCACAAAGGACACGTGCTCAAGCAGCTGCTTTTTAAACTCTTATGCTAAGACTTTCGTTTAAAACAATCCCTTTGTAATTTGTTTGTAATACACTCTTTTTTTATAAGAACCTTTTTTATAAGAAAATTCGGGCTGAAATTTAGAGAGATGTTCTCCAAAAAACTCACAATTTTAGATGTTCAGGTTCCGGTTCTGCTAATTAAGGGGCCGTTCTGGTCTAGTGGACGTTACATAGTTAACTCGGTGGTTAACAAAACCAAAAAAAATAGCCATATCTGGTACATGATTTTAAGTGCGCGATCTCTCCAGTTTGTTTGTTCCAGAGATAATTAAAAAGTTACTGAAGAAAGTGTCAAATTCCGCCGAAAACTACTCAGAATTTAAAAGGAAACGATTAAAGTATTTTGGAAGCCAGGATGTTGTTTTGTTCCTACTTTTTTTACTGACCTTTCATCAACCTTTTATTCCATTGGTCAGGGCTTAGTAGCTTGTAGATTAAATATTCTCAGGCGATTAGTTTGCGTGCGTTCTTTTGGGATGATCCGAGTGATGTCCGATCACTGATCCTGATCCGGATGCCTTGCACCGCAGCAAGTAATGCATGTAAGTAATATTTCTCTTCTATAAACTTTGCTCAGAGTCCTTAATTTCTCGCAAAATTACTCAATGGCAAAAATCATGTAACGTAAGTTAGGATAATTAGCTACCATGCTTCACACGATTGGCTCAGCTTGGATATATGCAAACCTTTAAGAAAAGTCAAACAGGTTTGTGGCTCCTGGTTTGCGATCAGTAAAGAATTAATAGATCATGCAGAATATTTTTGTCTTGCGATTCTCTCAACTATTTAAAAAAATACTGAAACGTTTTTAAGACCCTTACCTCTGGAAGATCTCTTTGTCCTATGTTCAGCTAAATCAGATAATTACAGAGGCATAGGACTCAACGTATATGGGCGAACACGTCTTAAATTTAAATCATGCAATATGAATATACAGTACACTTGTATGGCAAACCCGCGATGATTATGATGGCTGAAGTGTCATAAGCTAGCTGTCTCTACGCCCCTCCCCGTTGACGCATCACATGTGTACGTCATGTTTCGGGCCGATTCGGGGATTCCCCGCTTTGTCAACAGTCAAGCCAAAACGTGTCAAAATTATTGGGCAAACAAATTTTAATAAAGTAAATGCACCACATTATGTGCCTGTCACAGAAAGAAAAGGAATCTTTACGCGAGTTTTATTTCCACGCATTTGGTTATATAGTTTCATGGAATGAAACAAAGCACATTTAATTGACCACTCCAGAAAATGCCACAACATACCATGATGTTCTTTGTTTGTCACCTCAAAATTTTGCATAAGCACTGTCTTTAGTTTCCCTTGGGAGTGAAAATGGCCCCAAGAGAAACTGAAAACAATGCTTATGCAAAATTTTAGGGTGACAAACAAAGAACATTATCGTATGTTATGGTATTTCTAGAGTGGTCAATTGTCATCCAAACACTTGAACTGTGGCGTTTACCATGTAAGTCTGAACATCAAGAAGCCCTTAGCATTTAAGAATGTTACTGATCTAAAGATGTAACTCTACTTTAAAAATCTGTTGTTGATCATGACTACTAGGAAAGTAGACGGCTGAGTTCCGGAATGTTTGAATCTCGTCCTTCCACTTCCTTGTTTCGGTCGTATTTGAATCGCACTTGAAGATTAGCATATCATTTGAAGATTAGTATATGTCGTTATGGTGGACGGCCACGTTTCCCGGCCGTCCCACGATCGACGCTAAAATTGCTCACAATGGCTGCAGTCAAGAGCCTTGCTTCAGTATCACTTTCGAGCGGGAAAAAAATCTTTTAAAGCAGGAACTTGCTCCTGTTAATGCAAAATTGTCGTATTTCCTTGGATTTTACCTGTTACCCAGAACCTAAATTCTCGTCATATGATCATCCCATGGGATCACTTTCGCCTTTATTAAGTAATGACCAGGGGCGTAGCCAGGATTCTTGAAAGGGGGGCTCACAGAGGCTACTCATATATAGTTTATACCGCTGCTCTCCCTCACGTATCAGCGGGCTCAGTCGTATTATCGAGGCATGAAGGCCCATATTAACTAAAGACAAGAGCCGTTGACGAAAATACTTTACAAAAAAACAAATTTTAAAAAAGTGGGCTTTTCAACAGTGGCTTTTACGGCCGAGATATTGTCATGACGTTTTCGCTACCTAAATATTGTAGGTTGTTTGCTCAAAAGAAGGCCTACCAAGGGGGGTTAACGGGCACCCCAGGACCCCCCACAGCCACGCCCCTGTCATTCTCGTTCAGTTTTCAGATGACTCAAAGCCTACGAATGAGGACAAGTTGACTCCGTTTAAACAAAGATATCTGAAGCCGCCTCTCTTGAAGAGGGGGGTGAATAGGCGAACGGATCAACGGATTTTGAAAATATTTTTGCCCGGATCTCGGATTCAAAGCGAGATGTTAACGGATTTCTGGATCCTGCAACTGCAGCGGAATGCGGCCTCATCTATTTTTTGGGCCCGGAGTTTGGACTTTGCTTGCAATACAAATATTTTTGCCCGGATTTCGGATTCAGGGCGAAAATTACTATAAGGGTGGATTTGGTTAATAAATCATAACGGATCGACGGATTTGCATACCCCTATTCACCCCCCTCCTTGAATCACACACATCATTTCACGTCGAGCATGTTTCCGAACGATTTGCTCTCGCTTGCCGAACGGCAGCTCCATACTGCATTTACACTGTAAAGGCGTAGTTGCACATTTCTTCCACTGCTTTTTATGAGAGTTTTGCTATAGGGAGCTGTGGAATAGCCTAAAGTAAAACTACTTTCATGCTCTGCTGAGCCAGGGTACCAAGACCTACCAGCCCGGGGGGGTACTGCCATATATGGTCTATATGGGTGTGTGCCGCTGTGAAGGGTATGGTTTTCAAGCAGTTTACTCTAGGATAGGGTATATAAATCAGAGCGTTTGGGTCTAGAATAGGGTATCGTTTTTCAGGAAACTGATCAGTTGGTTGAAGATTTTATCTAGGCTGCGGAAACAGCTACCCTACGATGGGGGGATTTTGGGAGTTTACTCTAGTATAGGGTAGCAAAATTCAGCTGAACTAGCTCTGGTATAGGTCAAGGGTTCCAGGGTCCCAGCGGCACATCCCCACCCAGAAATTCCTAAAGTGCCCCCCCCCCCCGGGCCTACCAGGAGCTCTTTTCACTTGTGTACTGAAGTACACTCAGTTGTACACTATCGAAATCCAGCGTAGTCAACCGAACGTTCTGTTATTAAACTAGTCTGCGAATATAGCCGTCTCCCCTCTTTCCTCGCCACTAGGAACGTTTCACAGGAAACGAAACCTCCTGCGAAACGTTCTTAGCGACGAGGAGCACGGAGAGACAGCTGTATTCCCAGGCTGTTAAACTCAATCGAACTTAATCGAACTCAGTCCATCGATGGAGTTCCGCAATCGAACACAATCAACATAATCGAATAGCACTTTTTCTGTGAGTTTGATCATCGATCCAATCGGTATGTTTATGAAAAGTATAGATTGTAATTGTCTTCTTGGACCTTGCGTAAAGGAGGTTAGCAATGTACAGTTAATTTGTTAGTAACTCGACTGTATATTTAAGGACCAAACTCAAGTTTCTTTGTATTTCTGGTAGTCAACAACTATATCTCCTTAGAAATTAGGAACCTAATTAAGAATTAAATCTTTTGCCTAAATTGCCAATGACTGTAGCCCAAAATAAGAAAAAAACCCTTTTTTGCCAGACCTTAAGACTGTGTCCATGAGAGCAGGCAGGCGTGACACAAGCTATCTCTCCGATTTGGATGAAACTTGGTCAGATTGAAGGACCCACCAAATAATTCTCAAAGACAAAATGAGTCTGATTTCCAACTATTCCCTTGGGAGTTACAGACCCCCCTTGGATTTTTGTCCTTAATCATCAAAATTTCACGAAAATAAGCATCAAACTTAGACGCTGCTCCTGGTTACAAGATACAATGAATTTTAATCCCCTTCGACACAGATAAAGGTCAATCCTATGTCAATTGATAAAGGCAGTTTCAAGTCATTTTGAGAGACAGGTGCCAATCAAGGGATGTCAGTGCCCACCCACGTCACCAAAGATTATGCAATATAAGAGAAAATAGCTAAAGTTTACATCCAAATATCTGAAAAATCCAACTTTCTTTTTTAAAACTATTTTCACAACGATTTAGTCCTATCCTTATACAGATAAAATTACGAAGAAAGATTTTTGGCATCTCACATTTCCTGGCTTTAAAAGATGGTCTGAGCCACGTGACTCGACAGCATCATTTCTGAGACAGAAAACAAACTCATCGAAAATAAAATGGCACACGATCCGTTTATGAACGTAATTTCTCGTGTAACGAAATAATTGGGTCTATGAATAATGTTTGTACCACTTATATTAGTCAAAGTGAACCTTATATTCATTGCAGTATCCCTTACACTGATGGTATTTTAAAACGTATCATAAATCTTGTTCCAAGTAATAGCCGCCAAGTATTTTACTGAGTTCTTGTCATAACGAGTAGTATTAGGTTTCGGTACTTGCAGGTTGTTAACGTCTCTAAGGTATTTTATGTTGCTTGTAATTATTTATCACATACAATCCATCGTGCACTGGCCGTTTTTATACTACAGTCGCATTATCCGGCGAATTTGGGCAAACATTTTGTAGTTCGTCTCGTGGGCCCGTCTGGTTAGGGACGGACCATTAGGTAAAACAAGAGTGACTCACTGTCACCGTCGATTTTTCGAACACCCACTTTCCGAACCAATTTTCATTTGTCTTTTAAGCTTTAGGGTTCGAAAGAGAGAGAGAGTTACTGAAAACAAAGGAGACAAATTTCGTAGGAAGAAAAACATGGAAATTCAAAGCGGCGGTGAGAAAATGAGAAATGCTAGCGGCCAGCAAGGTGAAAATCAGCGGCAGTGAAAAATAAAAGCGAACATGAACACAGGAAACAAAATTTTGCATGGGTAAGCACATACGACGATTCTTCCGTCAAATAATGTGCAACTAGGAAGTTTGACGTTTTAGTCGTACAAACAGCGTTGTAGTCGTGCAAAACAACGGCAAGGGAAAGACAAAAAAGCGTGCTGCACGTGCAAATTTGTTTTTTGCTAATTAGAAGTAAAAGTGTGCTGCAAGAGGAATTTGGTTTTTTGTTAATATTATTAGATCGATTAGTCTTGAAGCCATTTTCATTGTCGTCCCCGTTTAGCATTACACGATTTTTTTGTTGTTGTTGTTTACCCGTACTATTAACCAGAGCTTCGCTTTTAGCCCTGGCTAAATCTGTATATTATAACCAACCACAGTTTGCCTGCTCGGGGACGTCCCCTATTTCTTTTGTTGCACGCTGAAAAGGTCCGTATCTTTTCCGCATGCAACAAAGGAAATAGGAGACGTCTGCACGCAGGCAAAACCTCAGTTCCAGCAGACTGAATTGCATTGAATTGCAATATCAAAATCAAAATCTTAAGTTAATAAAGATATCTACAATGAAGGTGTTTTTAAGAAAAAGGTCTAGTACTGATAGACGAATTCTACCTTACTCACACAACGAGCTGTCAACAACTATTACAAGTTAAAACAAATTAACCTGCGTTAATTGTTGCAATTACTCATGACATCCAAGCTCTCGTCATCCGTATATTTTCAAACTTTTGGCTCTGGCTTCGTCTCTATTTTCTCATTCTTCCCTCCTCAGTACTCTCATTTTACATTTTACATACCTCAGAAATGATCAGGAACCTGCAGATAGCTGATAAATCTGATTTCGTCTCTTTCAAATCTACGGAATGTTGCAGTCCGAGAAATTGACTTACGTAAAGTAGGTTCAAACTTCTGTTCTCGAAGGTCTATTGGTGAAATGAAACGTTTACATGAACGTCCGACTATGATTAGTCCATTATATATTCTGATATGTGATAAACAAGCTAAGAGTACCCGCCTTATAAAGAAAATCCGCACAGTTTGCTTGCTCGCAGACGTCTCCTATTTCCTTTGTTGCACGCGGAAAAGGTCCGAATCTTTTCAGCGTGCAAGAGAGGAAATAGGAGACGTATGCACGCAGGCAAAACCACAGTTCCAGTAGACTGAATTGCATTATTCGTCACTGCACGGTCGATAAGCTGGTTTATTGCCTGAAGAAGTTGAAGGCACATGCAATGAGCCCGTGATACGTCTTATCACCTGTTACAATAGAAAAGAGGCAGACTAAGCATTACCATTACTATCAACTAGCATTACCAATTATCACTAAAAAATGGCCCGCTCGCAAAACCAGCTCAAATAATAATATTAAAAAGAATAACATATAAATAACTACACGATTAAGGTTAATTTATTCAGACATTTTTAAACTGATTTGGGATAACAGCGATAATTGTACTAACAAAAGTTACACGGCAGGACTTATAGTTAACAGGGCTTCATCTTACTTCCTTCTCCGCTTGAAGTGAAAAAATCCTTGACTTGTTTATATTTGGAAGTTATTGTATGGCTGGTTCTGAAAGTGGGAAATTAAGATGAAGCTCTGCTTTACCGCTTTGATTCTGCAAGAAAAAAATTGTTTGGGAACAAGGTATGAAATAAATGCTTCATATATTGATTAAGCTTGCATTGTCTTGCTACATTACGATTAGCCACACTGATAATGATTCAGTAAACGTGGTTCACCGGGGTGCGGGATGCTTTCAGTGCCAGCGGCAAGCGAAAACGAGATAAGCCTACGGTAGTCGAGTTTTACTCTGTTTAAGGATAGAATGACGTTTTAAATAAAAAGAGTTCGAAAACGCAAACTGTACCGAAACGGTTCCCAAAGTGAATTTATGGGAGGTATTAGTACAGAATACTTTTAAAATTGCTTTAATAACCTGTACATCCCACAGGTAGCCAAGTTGGGTGGTTTTCTGTCACCAGTTACAAAAAGCAAGAGAAATTCTCGTGAACTATTACGAAACCTTTTTCATTTCGCAATGAATTTTACAAAATATGACTCTCCTGTGTACACTTTACAATTGATTTACAAAACTATTTACAACTGTTTGATTTTTACTTACTAAGAATTATTTCTTTTTACCTATTAAAACTCTACAATAAAAAATTTCCTCAGCTGTCATAAATTACACATCTGACAAGGCAGCTAATATACGAAAGAAGTAGTTCCGAGTGTGTTTCGATATTCCAAGAAATCGTTTTAAATGCATATCGGTACATTTTGATTGGAGAATCAACGTCTCCAGCTCCTCCTCGACTTCATTTTATAATAAATGCGGTGAAAAAGAAAATAGTTTTGAATCAAGAAAAACAGTCGTAGAGAGCACCTCTTGATGTAGGCTCACACCCCATCGAGAGACCCACGGCTGAAGACTCCCAAGGCTGGAGACTAAGCCCACTCTTGACACTACAATGCAGGAATTCGGCAACAAAATGAACAGATGAATCTGAAACAGAAATAATACAACATAGTGAGGATTTGCAATAAGGTGGAGTCTCGTTTTTTTCGAACCAAAACCCGTTTTCCATCCCCAGCCTGAAGATTGTTACTTTCCATATTTTTTTAGTGCTAAACATCATTAGCTGATTTTTGTTTCCCTCGTGACTTTGGGACAAAATAAGCTAGGAGTATGAATACTAAATACGTCGCCATTAAAAGTAAAAATTTTAGGGGTCTGTGGTATTTTTGATTGTTTACCTAGAGGAGGTCGAAACGTCGTGACTTTTTCGCTTAACTTTTACACCAAAGAAAATTTTATAATCGAAAGAACTGGCGTGTGTGTTTGATTGATTGGGAAAACGAGTTCACAGAATATTCGTAAGGCCATTTTGTTACAACTTGAATCCAGTTGAATGGTAGAGAAACTGAAATGTTCTTTTGCTCGCTTTACGAAAATGATATTCGTTTTTTCAAGAGTATTTGAGAATACATAACAAATATTCAACGCGCCCAGTAAAAAAGGTGAAATATTTAGAATAATCCTTCGAATTTTCTTTAACCTATTACTATAGGACCATGCCACGGTTTTTTTATATATGTTTTTCTTTTTACTCACTGTGAAGAGCGCAATCCTATGGGTGTTGAATTATTCTGCAAAAAAGAAGAAGAGGAACATTTGGAACACACGTCTTCTAGATTTGAAGTTCAGAAAAATTGTACTCCAAAACTACTTAATTTTCGCCCATAGGGGATTTTCTGGGCCCAGCGCTAACCCGGGGTTGGAGGAGGTCTTTCTCCTTATTTTGTCCCTCTCTCTGACTAACTCATGCTACAGAGACTGCACTAACTGAACGCCTGGAACATGCTAAGAACTAGAATTTAGACGGAGAGAGGGAAGTACAATGACCGGTGGCTCTTTGTACAATTCAGTGAACGTGAGAAGCCTTAAACTGCGGGCCTCAACAGGGAGAAAAATGGCGCTTTTCTCATTCTTCTCACTTTCATTGGACCTCCGCGCAGGATATATTGTCCGATTGATTTCAGTGTTTTCTTTACATAATTCCTACCTGTGTTGCATCCGCAGCCTTAAAACTGTATTTAGAAAGCAAATCGCTCGACAGCGCTTCATCTCTGGTGTGTTTGATTACAAACCAGTTAGCCAGACCATCCCCCGGATTTTCCATGCAAGACCGCTGTAACTGTAGACCCTCAAACATTTGGTAAGCTGGGTTTGCCACATTTCGTTCTCGTGATACAGAGAGGTGGTCATTGTTTGTTCTTTTAAAGGCAAAAACAAAGAAAAAGGAAAGAAAGTCAAATTCAGAGAATGACCAGCAACTCGGAAAAAAAATTCGGCAAGTCTCCAAACTGGAGTTAAACCTAAGAGTTTCTGAATAAAGCGGATCAAACGGCTATACCCTTCCAAAATATGTTTTACGATAAACAGCTATAGAATTCAGAAGTTGATTATTTTTAAATTTCACTAAAGAAGTATGCCCTTTTTCTTAATGAAAAGAAAGAGAGGACTAAGGAGAGTGCCCCCAAATGCTCATTTTTTTTATATTATTGAAGTTTATTGATAAGTACAATACTATATACAATATTAACAAACAAAGAACTAAAATAAAAGGAACAGACAAGATACAAAGATACGAGTTGTACCTTGTCTGTTCCCCAAATGCCCATACCCAGTTTTGATACCAGTCTTCTTTGTGGACAAAAGTGATTCTTTGCATTTGTGCTAACTGCGCATGAGCACTCTTTTTATTTACTTTAACGGCTTTGCCGGGAATTTATATTAAGAACTCTCGTAAGTTTACAATTCCAGAACAAGGTTTTGTGGTAAAATTTGGAGGGGTCTGACGTGAAAGGGCTATTTGTTTTCTTGCCTTCCCACAAGAGCAGTTCCTCTTTCCAGGAGTATACATGAGAATCGAGCTTGTTTGAGACATAATACTTTACTAAATGAGTAACCTGAAGACTTTCATGCCGTTTTACTTCATAGTGATGGTACATTCTCTGTGGACCTTTTGTGTGAGCATGTTAATCAGGAAAACCTAGAGTCAGATTCGAGGACCAAGACAACTATACATGGCAAGATTTGGCTTGAAGCTTGGCATTGCAAAAGAGTTAGACGCGAAACCGTTTACATCGTTATTTGAAAGCAAGGAAATAAAATGGTCACATTTCAGTTTATTCGTCCTATAACACTTGAATCCAGTTGACTGGTAGTAGGGTAGAAAAAGACCTATAGAGTGACGTTATCTAACGTTACTTTACTTGACGTTCCCCGTGAAATAGATAGTGGACTAAGACCTCCCAAATTACTCCTTCCCACGATTACTAAAACAACATCTACTGATTCGAGAATTTGTTAGTTAATTGATCATATTCGTTCTTTTCAATCTCCATATAGTGTCAATTTGTGTGTTATTTACTTAATACTTGTTCTCTTCTATTGTGTTTTTTTGCTACTTAATTTACCTGTCACCACTGTATAAAAAAGCTAAAAAATGTCATTGTTATAGCTAGGTGAGAGCACGAAAACGTATGTTCATTAGACATCTTTGTTATCATAGTGCATAATTTTATGTGACAATTTCTTCTTTTCTTTTCATTAGCTATCAAAACATGTAAATTTCTCTATTTCAGGTGACTGTAATAATAAAGGTTGTTTGTTTGTTTTTTGTTTTTGTTTAGACTAATACGCAACATCAAGAGAGAATGAGCTCATTCTATCTTAGCAACATATCGTAAAATTCCGAAAATAAGCCCCGGGGCTTATATTTTGAAAGGCCCTTTTTGAGGGGCTTGTTTTTGGAGGGGCCTATATTCGGAGGGGCTTATTTACGGAGGGAAATTTGCATTTCAAAATTGATTGGGCTAGCTTGTAGTGAGAAGGAAATTTACCATTTTTGCTATGTTTTACCTTGTATTCGCTGGCAAATTTCAAGTACAAGCTCCCCGGGGGGCTTATATTCGGAGGGGCGATTTAACGGGGGGTGTTTTTTGCGTTACGATTTTGGAAGGCTTATTTTTGGAGGGGCTTATACACGGAGGGGCTTATTTTCGGAATTTTACGGTATATGTATTTAAAGGACTGTGTCACAACATTTATCCAAATTCAAACAGAGGGAATGGACACCAAACTGAGCGAAACATTTAAACAACCCCTCAAAAAGTTAGTGACACAACAAAATACAAAAGTAGGCACGGATGGACAAACTTGAAGAAGATTGAAGCAGATTAAGCAGATTGCAATTGAGGTTATGGAAAACCTGTTAGCCTAACAGTTTTTCAAAGTTCATTTTTGTTGTTTGAATTGTTTGATATAATGCTTGGGAGACATATTTTTTTGGAAAAAAGGGGGTGGTTTTGTCATTCTTAAGTTTCATAGCGAATAAGGACGCGTAACTGCCAATAAATATTAAATGATCAAGGCAAGCGTGACACTACAGCCCCTTTAAACTCTACTGATTTCATCACATGTTTTCTTTTGTGGGCATTTTGTGGTTCAATTTTATCCTTTGTTTTTGGGTATGGTAGTGTATGATAATGAGTTTGAAACAAAGGAAATAAACTTTAAACCAGGGATAAAATTGAACCGCAACATGTATTTGTATCTACTTGGCACTAATTGTTACTTAACATACTGTTTCACAGATTAATGAAGTATAATAAAGTAAAGTAACGCTAAAAGATGAAGTAGTCGAAATACACTAGTTCTGAAAACGTTTCCCCAGGAAGGTGTGGTTTTTTTGTACTCACGTTGAAGAACTTGATCTTGTGAGTTGTGGATAATTGTCATCCTGGAAAAAAGGAGAGAGAAATTTCTTGAAGATCTGAAACTACGAAAATTTTACTTTAAAACTACTTCATGTCAACTAAGTCTGGAGAGAAACGTCCACTCGTATAGGCGCTAAAATCATAATAATATGGTTCGATGAATATAAAGTCATCACATGACTGGGATGTTTTATCTCAAAATTATCCCCTCCGCCCCTTACCCGCTTAGGAAGGCCTGATATTCAGGCTACCTCATAGGACCAGGCTCCGCTATGGGGAAAAAATGGCAAAAAACGGAGTGAAAGGACATAAAAAATCAGAGAGCAAAGAGAGTCGAGCAGTGGACTGGGGAGGGGGAAGGGCCATTCTCCCCAGACGTCTGATCGGCTCGCTTCGCTCGCCGATATTTTTTTCGCTTTTTTCCGCGACTGGGGAGCTTGGTCCTAGGCTAGAATGCTTGACGAAACCTCTAAAAACGTCTGTGATGGAGGCTAATTCTCATGGTAAAAATAGTCCTTATAAGTCACAAAACGGCACACGTCGTAAAGAGGGTGACAACCAAGTTTATTTGGGTGTTTCTCATCACTTTTACTTCGAACCCAGTGGCAATTATAATCAACACGATTTCTAACTCAACAAAAGTTTACTGCTTTTTTTTGTTATAACATCCCAGGTTTCCGTTTTAAGTTTGTTAAATTTAGGATATGTGCCTCGTTTTTTTGTTAAAGGAAATTTTTAGAAGTCATGCTGCTGCTGTACTTCCATTGTTACCGCATTTCACCTTAGATTGGGCTTTTAATAGAGATGTATAACCCTGACTGATGTACTCCGCGAATTTAAATGATGATAGGGATCGGAAAATGCTATGCTTGCCCCTCGGCTAATGACCAGAGGTCTTGTTTTGTGTAATTCTACCCTTAGAGAACAGGTGCAAAGGAAAAAATGGCACTTTTCTCTCCTCATTTTCAATCAGACCCCTTCACCCTGCTCTCTTAATTTCAGTGTTAATTTTTACTTATACCTACCTGTGTTGCATCTGCAGCTACAAAACCATATTTTGAACGCAAACCGCGCGACAGTGATTGATCCTTGGTGTGTTTGATTACAAACCAGTCAGCCAGACCGTCTTTTGGATTTTCCATACAAGAGAGCTGTAAATGCTGACCCTGATACCTTTGGTAAGCTGGGTTTGGCGCATTTTGTTCTCGTGATACAGACAGGTGATCATTGTTTATTCTTTTAAAGGCAAAAAACGGAGAAAAAGAAAGAAAGTCAAATTAGAGATAGATGTTTCTTAAATCAGTGACGCCAGCGACTCTGAGCAGCTTTTCCCGCTCTGTTCTCTTTTGTGCTCGTCATTCTTTACTTAATTTTGTATTATCTGAACGCCAAGTTTTGTTCAAAGAGAAGTACGGTGTCCACACTATGTAAAGCCACACACAAACGGACCCAACGTTGTTGGCCAACAACTCTCAACATTGTTGGATGTTACATGTTGCGTCCGTTTGCACACCCTGTTGCCTGTTGCTGAGTTGTTGCATATCGTTGGGAGTCAGTTGCATCCGTTTTTCACACTACTGCCAACACGGAGGCAACGACTCCCAACATTGTTGGTCCAACAATGTTGGGAGTTGTTGCGTCCGTTTGTACGTAGCTAAGCGGTTACAGCGATAATGTATCTTATCAAAATTGTGTCCTCTACTAAATGGCAGAGGTTCTCACGCTTCTGCTACCTTGAAAATAACTAAAGACATCTGGAACCTAGCTCGAGTAAAAATTTGGTCCGAATAACTAGTAAAAAGTAGACTTGCTACAGTCAAGTCGACCACACGAGTTTTCTTAGCTAGTAGAACGAACTTTCGGGCGCAGGGCTTCTTTGAAAGTCTAAATAAGAGTTAATTTCTGCATGGTTGACCTACCGACAAATTCCCTTTCTACAACAATTCGAATTCTTGTCCACATGTCGGGTGTATTGTTTACAGGTGGCACAGAAATAAGCAGACATTTTTCCTCCAGACGTTACAGCCTAGCAGTTTCGGGTACTATACTAAAATAAAGATAACAAATTTTAGAAAAATCTTGACCTGCAAAATTCCCACTTAAACCCCTATTTTTTTCTTCTTAAAATAGCGCAATAACATTATCAACTACATTGAAGCTAGTCTTTCAGGCGTCACTTCCTTTCATGCTTGTCTGACCACACGAATTAATTAATTTTGACGACATGTTTGATGGCAATTGTCGCATTATTGTGGCGGGAACACTCGGCACATGATCGGAGAACTAAACTTTGCACGAACGTTTGCACGAACATGTGTTGTCGTTCGAGTGTGTAGATTAAGTGTTGATCATCGAAATTTTATGCGAATTGATGTCGATGAATTCTTTACGTGTAGAACAGAGTACAGAATTCTAAAATATGAACATGTGAAGAAAAATACTTTCAAGTGAGTGAAGAATTAAATGCTAAATGGAACTGGTTCTATCACAGATATTT